ACTGTCTGCCTGTTTACATACCTTTCGGCAAGCTAACTAATTTCTAATAACCCGGATTTTACTATCTGTAAAATAGAGAGAATAACAGCAAAGGTAGTAGGGGAGTTCAGCGCTTACAACAAAGAAGTCCTTGAGTGTCAGCTAAGGACATCATTATCACTGTGCCTTGTCTCTAAGAATATGCAAAAGGGCCGACAGGAGGGCTCAGTGATTAAAAGCAAACACTGTTCTTGCAAGGACCTGAGTTTGGCTCCTAGCACCCACATCAGAGGTCTCACAACCGTCTGTAACTCCAGGAAAATCTCCAGGTCCAGGAAAATCTGTCTCTTGTCTCTGAAGGCAACTGCATGTAACACAGCACACACACTTAAAAAATAAAATAAATAAAAATATCTTTATTGAGGGGAGATAGAGATGAATTAGAGCACAAAGGCCAGAAAAGAATTAACCAAAAAATTCACCGTGTGTGTGTGTGTGTGTGTGTGTGTGTGTGCGCGCGCATGTGTGTGTGTGTCTGTGTGTGTGTCTTTGATAAAAGTTTCATGTATTCCCGGCTGTCTTTGAACTCCTATGTAGTTGAAGATAACCTCAAACTTCTTTTTTTCCCCCTTCCCTTCTCCTGCTCGCTCCAGCCAACCTCAAACTTCTTATCCTCCTCTGTCTACCTCCCAAATCTCAGATACAGGAAAGCATCACCACATCTGATTAATAGGTCCTGGGGATGGAATCCAGGGCCTCGTGCATGCTAGGTAAGCACTCTACCAACAGAGCTGGACCACCAGACTAACTTAAGTTTTCAACAATCCTGAACAATTCACCTTGCCTTCTCTAAAATCTGTTCATGTCCAATCCCAAAATCAGCCCTGCCCCTAACTAAAAACCAAGGATTTATGTATGTCTCCTTCCTCCCTCCTGCTTCAAAGCTGGTGTAAAAACTGGATTAAGTTAGTCAAGCCTCCAAGCATGGGGCATGATAGCATAACCTTGTGGCCCCAGCACTTAGAAGACAGAAACAGGAGAAATCTGCAAGTCTGAAGCCTACTTCAACTACAGAGTTCTAGGGCAGCCAGATAGCTAAGGCTACCATAGTGAGATCTCATTTCAAACAAAAAAGACAGACAGACAGACAAGAACCAGACTGACTTAGCGCCTCAGTGCTTATTCCCAATGTGCCTCTTCACCACCTTCTCGCTGTTAAGGCCTCAATCTTCGGAACTGCAGCAGCCTCCTGCTCTGTCTCCCAGTGTGCACCACTTTCCTTCCCTGAAGCTCATGCTTACACCTCAGCCTTAAGCCCTAAGTCTCCCTGCAGGAGAGAGATCACTCTCTCCGTCTCTCACATGGACAGAGTTGAAGCTCCTAAACTTTCAGACAGCTCTCCAAGACCTGATGACTGCCAGTGTCACAGGCAAACCATCTCCCATGATCAAGCCCCACGGCCTGGTGCTATTTTCTGAGCCCCTCTGTCTCACACTCAGCTCCCAGAACCTTTCAGGAGGATAGCAACACAGCAGAACGTTTCCCTGAAGTCTTAATTAAGACCTCACCCCACAAAGCACCCCTTCTTATGCTTCTGAGTGTCTCATGTATACCGTCACAACAGCACTCAGCACAACATCTATGCTGTACATTAAGATAATTCTTATGTTTCATTTCATGTGAACGAGTGTTCTGCCTATACAGGAATATGTGTACCACATATGTGTCTGATACCTGGAGAAGTCAGAAGAGGGCACCAGGTCCCCCAGAACTGGAGTTACAGTGAGAACCATACCAGGGCCTCTACAAGAACAAGTGCTTCTAACTTTGAAGCCATCTCTTCAGCCCCTGTATTGTACATTTTAGATTCCTATCTGTATCACCCAACTTGACCCCAAACTTATGGAGTAGACCATCTGAGGCCAGGGTTGGGAAGAGTTGGTACAGGAACATCATTACACATGAGTCAGTCGGTTCCATGAACAGATCACATCATGAATGAACTCATACAAAACACCATTTGATAGAAAACTCAGCGTATCAGAGGTCAACATCAGCAGGGTATTTATGTAGATGCTCTGATCAATCTATGGCCAACTATTGAACAGTGAAACGTAATAAAGAGAGCTTTGGAACCAGGGGTACTGAGCTGGAATTCTAACCATGTGACTTCTACACCGGGTCACTTTTGCCAAGGGTCAACTGAAATCTGTTTCTCACCTATAAACTACACAAAACTTCTTACTTCATCACATTGTTCTACCAAATGAGACAATGGCTGCACCACGGCTGCCAATGCACAGGGTTCTAAGACTGTTAATCTTTTCCCATTTACAGAATATTGCTCATCTGTAATCCCAACACTTGGGAAGCTGAGGCAGGAGGATCACAAGTCTAAAACCAGCCTGGAATATATAGCCACACCCTGTCTCAAAAAAAAGAGAAGACACTATATTTAAAAAAAAATCAATAAGAATCCAAGGTCATATGTGCTGCATTTGGGAAGAATACTGAACACTCTCTGAAACTTTGAGCACGCCCCAGTCCCAGCCAGCCACCTCTTAGAAGTAGGTCATAAAGATTTAGGAGAAAAAGAGAAAAGGAATGGGGAAAGGTTCAAATCATTTCAAAGCAATTTCACCAGCTCTGCTGAGAAGCAGTTTAAACCGCCTGCCCTCCTTACGGCGCTGCCTCGGTAGCTAGCTATAGCATGAACACAATGTAAACAATGACGCTGGAATGTAAGTTCTTCAAGGGGTTGAACTTAGTCACAGCTCTGTTCCGGGGAGGGAAGGACTCATCATAAAGCACTACGTAAATAACACAGCCAAGCAGATAAACAACCCTTTCACATACACAGAAAGAAGTAAAAGAACTCAAGGTGACCCATGAGAAAGGGACCTGATCTGGTTAAACCAGTTTTTATTCTTCTAGCCTGTATTCATAAATATTTTCATTTTCTTAAAATATGAAACTCTGATTTAATCCAAGTTCCTAACTTACAGTGAGGAGATCACTTTAGTGAGTTTTAATCCTGAAATGTATCCTTCAACTGTCAATAAGAGGTGTTTTTTTTTTAACCAAATCAACTTCACCTACAACATCTGTGATACAAGTTTCTACTAACAGAGTAACAAAAAACAAAACAACAAAAAAAGGCAAAACACCTTTGGATACATCTTTGTAGGGAAATGCACACCTAATTCTTAATTAAAGAAACTGGATTAAAGCTAGGCAAATTGGTACACACTCATGGCAGAGGCAGGTAGGTCTCTGTGAGCTGGAGGCCAGCCAGGGCTTCACTGTAAGATTCAAAAAGGGGAAAAAAAAAAAAATTAAAGCGTTTTTGTTCTAGCTGCTAATGAGAATAAAGTGACCAGTAATTGTACTGCCACTGTGGTCAAGTCAACTAATTTGTTGACAATACCTTTATACTAATCCTGCTTTAGTGAATTTAATTTTTCATATACATTTTAGTGTTCTATTGACCTTGAAAGAAATTTCTTCCGTTTCTTCCACGGAGGTTATACATGTTCCTTTTATGGTCACTAAAAGAGATCTCAAGAACTGAGCAAAATGTAGAGATATCTTCCAGATTATACAGTATCTTTGACTAGTCTATACACTTTACTGATTTGAAAAAATAATTAGTGCAGACCAAATCCGTAAAGGTCGCTAAACCAAGAACTATTTACAAATCATAGTACTTTTTAGAAGTAAAGGGCTACTGAAAAACACAGATTGTGTCTCTTTAGAAGGAAAGGAAAAGGAGAGATTATTTTTAAAACTACATAAAACCAAGTATTTCTAAGTCAATCTCCTGATATTTCCTGAACTTGCTCAGGGGTTTTCTGATGTAAGATGACATTCCTGCTGTAGTTGAGGAAAACCAAGTTAGCTGACTCAAAATTAACAATTCTGACTTAACTAAAGTATCACAAGCCACAGAATTGGTTTTTTTTTCCCCTACCTGACCCTTCACCCATGTATGTGCATACACCATCCCTAGAGAATTTTAGTGACTAAATAAACATGAGGAGACCACAGCCAAAAGTGGAGCATGGGCCTCTTCCAACCGACCTGATGACAGATGACGACTACTTTCATAATACTGCAGGGGAAGCTTGTGAGAAGCAGTGGAAGAAATTAAGCCAGCGGGGGTCTTGAAAAGAATGCCTTCAATTTGTAAACCGACAGGGAAAAGTCAACTGAGTCACAGAAATCCTTAGTTCCCTGTCTCTGCTTTTCTGACAATCCCATACAATACAAGCCAAGTTTAAGGTGAAGGGGTCCTCACAAAAGTAAAATAATATAGACTACCAGAAGTCATTAGTAATCTGTTACATTAGTATAATTTAACTAGAATCTTTTCAACTATTAAGGATACACATTTTGTTAATGTTAAATATCAAGGAATCTGTAACTACCTCGCAAACACAAAGGTACCTTTGATCAATTTATACAATGAAATGGCCACATGTATTTGGGATTTTAAATCCTTGCTTTTAAAACAGCCATTAAACAATATGATTTTATGCAAAATTGTTCTTCAAAACCACTGAAGACACAGGCACACAGAAGATACCACGATCTAAATCGTGCCTCTCTTTCTTGAATACCCTTTTAAAAAGACTGAACACCTTCAAGATGCTCTCCTCGTCTTCAGACCCTAAAAGAAAAGCCAGTGGAGTTCCGAACGAAGAAACAAGAGAGAATAAAGGAGAATAAAACGAGGGACCCTCTTTGGGATCTTGCATTCTCGATCTCTGGAGAATTTTAGTGATCGAGTAAACATACAGAGACGGTAGCCCAAAGTGGAGCAAGGGCTTCTTACAATACAACCAATCTGATGATGAATGACTACTTTCATTATATTTCATTATTCTTGAAAATGCCATCTCCGTTGCCTCCCCAATCCCAAAAGCCCGACACCACTAGGGCAAAACCGTCCCCGTCCAAAGCGCCAAAGAGTTGCCAAGTAATCCTTTCAAGGTGGCTCCCCCACGCCCCAGCCTCCTCACCTCGTCAGCGCTCAGCTCCTCCATCGCTTTCCTCTTAATGGTGAAAGGCGTTAGAGAGATCCTTCAGTTCTTGAGACCAGGGCGGGAGCAAAGGAGAGTGGAAGGTATCTATCGGGCTGTCTGGTCCCCCAGTGGGGGAGGTTTCAGAATTGCATAGTCAGAGGTTAAAAACTAAGAACACGAGGCACTGAATCGCCTTGGCTTCGGTCGCTCGGACCGCCCCAGCCTCCTCCAGCTGCAAGCGCCCAGAGCTGGCGCCTCTGGCCACGGCCACTGCTACGGGGTCCTCTCCAGGCGCCACTGACTGCCTTCAGCTTCCCAGGTTACCCAGAGCGTGCGGCGCGGTCTCCAGCTCGGCTCGTGCCCGCTGCGCGCCGTGTCTTCGTGGCGGTGACGCAGCAGCTGCGTTTTTCTCCCGCAGACCCTGCTCCGGGTCCCACCCCTGGCCCCTGGCGGGAACGGCTCCACTGCACACTGGGTGCCCCCCGAGGCGCGGCGACCCTACACCAGCCCAGGCAGAGCCCAGCACCGTACGGGGAAGCCCCTCCCCTCTAAAAAGCAGGCCAGGCTCGCCCCGCCTCCACGCAAGAACCCTGGAAGGGGGGAGGGGAGGGATGGGACTGGCGAAGCTCTCGCTGTAAGCGTAAATCCTCCTACCCCTCCAACCCTACTCTTACCCCCTCGCCCCACCAAGTATTATTCATCAAAACAACAGGGCGGCCATCTTTGAAAGGGATCACGTGACCCCAGCTAGGGAGGCGGGGCTTCTGGCTCCCGGACTCCCCAGCCAATAAGCAGCGGGCGTCGCGCCGCCGATTTCCTCTTCGCTTGCATCCTGTCCCCGCCCCCTGCCCCACCCCCTCTCCCCTAAGCGGCGCCAGGCGGGGGGAGGGGCCAGAGGAGCAGCTAAACTAAGAAGAGAAGGAGGCGGGGCGGGCAGTCACCATGGAGACTGCGCGGAGGCGAGGGGCGCGGTGGGCGGGTCCCAGGTAGGATAGCAGCGGGTTGGATGCGCCAATCCGGAGATGGCCTTTCCAGGCCCCTGGTCCGCGCCTTGGCTTTCTGCGGTGCTGGTTTGTTCCCAAGTGGCTCCTGCTGTGTAGTGACTTGGGAGTCCTCCAGAATGCTACAAGCCCACCACAGACACTAGGAGAAGAGAGGAATCAGAAACACATTTGCTTTCTGCAGGGAGTATTTAGCACCATGCTGCAAATACCTTCCCCTCCTCCAGGGAAACCCATGGAAGAAAAATAACAGGGACTTACATTAATTTTATTATACCTTGCTCTTTTAGAGAGGCGCGTTAAGTGTGTTCCAGAGTATTGATAAAATCTGAAAGTGCTGGTGAATGAGAGACTCAAATTATTGAGAAATGTGTTGAACAACGACTTAGTAAGCCCTTTGTAAAATCAGCTCAGCTGGGCAACAAAAACTTACTTTACAATCAATATATAAATCTAAATTGAAAAATCTAACAGTACCATGAAAATCCAGATTTTACCACAAAGGATATATTGTAGTGTTTACAAAAGCCATAATCATCTCGTTCTTAATTGTTCTTGAGACAAAATCTTGCTATGTATTTCAGATAGCCCCAAATTTGAAATCCTTCTGCCTGGACGCTGGGGTATGCACTACCATCACAGATTGTCCAACTATAACATTAATGTATGTATATGTGTATGCATGTATGTATTTGAAACAGGGTCTCCCTGGCCTGGAACTCACAGAGATCTGCCTGCCTCTGCCTTCCAAATGCTAGGGTTACAGTACTGGCTACTCTTAACTGAAGGATAGTCTTAAACATGCCACTGTTGTTTAAAAGAGTTACATTTGATCTTAGCCAAGGGGACAAGTGACTAAAATAGTTACAATTTGTTTGCTACATGCTAAAAATGGGAACATGACTACTAGATATGCAAGAATCCGTGAGTAAAAGTAAAACGGCTGCAGGCTTTTCAGGACTGCATTCTGCTTTCCAGGAAAAGAATTCCGTGTAAACCATTTTGGACCCCTAGTTGCACTGATGTCAATTGCATTGTCTTTCTAAAAATATCATAATTGCCATGTGGTCTCAGATTAAACCACACATTTAAAAAATACAATGGCTTTAGTTAGAGCTCCTTAAAGTCGTTGCTCTTTAATTTCAGAAAATTTTAATCACCCAAGAAAGAAACCATCCGACACACGAAACAGCCCTCCTCACCCTCCCATCACTTCCTATAGCTGGTCTGCCCTCTGCTCCCCGGACTTACCCCTTCTGCACATTTCACATCAAATAAATCGAACATTCGGTAACTACTCTTGCAGTGCCTCAACTCCGCTGTTTTCAATGCTTCGGAAAGATAGTTTCTCCTCCTTGAGGCCTTAACACTTGCTGTCTCCTTTGTCCAGAAAACTCTTCTCCTGGACTTGGCATGGCTTATTGTTCTTTCTTAGTTTTAGATTTTAGATTAAATGTAGTTTCCTCACTGGTACATTGATTAATTAAATTAATCAAGCATATGTGTGGATATGTTCCTGTATGTGTAGATGCGTCTATGGATATGTGTGTATGTGTGTGGAGGACAAAGGACAGTCTTGGGTGTCAGCTCAGGAACACCATCCACCTCAACTGAAACAGGGTCTCTTATTGACCTGGAGCTCACCAGTGAGCCCTCCTGTCTCCACCTCCCCAGCTGAGGGCTTGTAAGCCTCCAAACCTGGCATTTTCCCATAGGGTTTGGTGATGGAACTCTGACCCTCATTTCGGAGAAGTCAGACATCAACTTGTAGAGACTGGTTCTTTCCTTCAGCTCTGTGGGTTTTGGGGATCACACTTAGATCGACAGGTTTAGTGGCAAGTGCCTTTACCTACCATGCTGTCCACCAGGAGAATTCATCTTTTCCTTTGCACAGGATTGGGAATATAAATCAGTGGTAGGATGCTTGCCTAAGCATTCATGAGGCCCCTAACTCACTTCCTTAGGACAAAAGAAGGAGGAGGAGGAGGAGGGAGAGGAGGAGGAAGAAGAGGAGGAAGAAGAGGAGGAGGAGGAAGAGGAGGAGGAGGAAGAGGAGGAGGAAGAAGAGGAGAAAGAGGAGGAGGAGGAAGAAGAAGAGGAAGAAGGAGAAGAGGAGGAGGAAGAAGAAGAGGAAGAAGAAGGAGAAGAGGAGAAGAAGAAGAAGAAGAAGAAGACGACAAAAGTCTTCTGGATATTGCTCATGATTTCTCTCAAGCCTTTTTTTTTAATTATTTATTTTTACATATATGAGTACACTATCTTCAGACACACCAGAAGAAGGCACCATTACAGATCCCATTACAGATGGTTGTGAGCCACCATGTGGTTGCTGGGGATTGAACTCAGGACCTCTGGAAGGGCACTCAGTGCTCCTAACCGCTGAGCCATCTGTCCAGCCCCTCTCAAGCCTTTTTGACATGCAACTGTATCTACCACATATTCCAGCTCCCTGTGTCTTCCCCCTTGTCTGTCTGTATATCTCAGGCAAGGCCATGGCTAGTATGCCTTAACTGATCAGCTCACCTGTGTCCTGTGTAGGGCTTTGCCCATAATGGCGTGTTAGTGGTTCCAAAATACAAGAATGCAGAAGGGCTTGAGCCAACCACACTGGCTTATATTTCCTGAGTTTAGCAACCACATGTACCTATCATTAGGCATAACCTCACACTCCTATGGAGATCAAGCTCAAGCCAAGCAAGAGGAATTCAAATAGTTAATACTCCAAGCTGAGGCTGATCCTCAGAACCAGGAAAAAAGATATGGTGTTATTCACGTGTCATCCCAGGACTCCTGCTGTGAGGTGAGATGCGGAGACAAAAGAGTGGGCCAGAGGCTCAAGGAGCAGCTACCTGGAGTATGCATTGTAGTAGCCAGAGAAACAAGAAAGACCCTGCCTCCTCCACAAGACCAAAGGTGAGAACTGACTCCCAAAAGTTGTCTTCTGAGATACACACATACACAAGGTACACACATGTGTACACATATACACAGCAAATAAGTAATTTTTTTTTCAAGACAGGGTTTCTCTGTGTAGCCCTGGCACTCCATCTGTAGACCAGACTGACCCCCAACTCAGAAGTCCGACTGCTTCTGCCTCTGCTGGGATTAAAAGGGAACCACCATCACCTGGCTTTAAGTAAACAAACAAAAAAAAAATCAAGAAACACTTTTATTTCTTCATCCAACCTTGATCTTGTTTCTCTGTGTTCTCTTTCTCTTCTTCTCCCTGACCCCTCTTGTTTTTTTGAGACAGGCTCTCATGTAGCCCAACCTGGCCTCAAACTCTGTACATATCTGAGATGAGCCTTGAACTCCTAATCAGCCTGCTTCAATCTCTTCAGGTGCTGAGATTATAGGCATACAGCATTGTGCCAGGCTTTCTCTGCTCGCTTTTGTCATAAACCTCTTCAGAGACGTGGCTGTACTTGACAGGTTAAGTCCAGACCACGTACAAAACTCTACTCCATATCTCTCTTCCAAGTCTCCTCACCTCAACCAGGGGGACAGAGCTTTGCCTGTCTTGTCAGCTAATTCATACAAAGACAGGTCACCCGGAACCTCCATACCTTACTGACAAGTGAGCCTGTGAGACAGGGTACCAGGGCATCACTGTCAGAGAGAAAAGATGTCAGTGGCATCTAGTCTGCCATTCTCAGTTTCTATTTCCAAGGTCAAGATAGATAGATAGATAGATAGATAGATAGATAGATAGATAGATAGATAAATATGCAGGAGGCTGGGGCACATGCACACAGCATGCACAGTAAAAAAAAAAGGAAGAAAGGAAGAAAAAAGAAAGAAAGAAAGAAAGAAGGGAAGAAAGAAAGAAAGAAAGAAAGAAAGAAAGAAAGAAAGAAAGAAAGAAAGAAAACCAATTACATCTGGTTTGGAAGGCATAGCTTCTAACAGACAAACACAGGCAAACACTCTTAAGGAAATCTACCCAGCAATTTTCTTTGTAGCCATATTTTCCAATTTCAAAATACAGGAGTTTGTTTTTCTGGTTTTTCAAGACAGGGTTTCTCTGTGTAGCCTTGGCTGTCTTGGAATTCCCTCTAAAGACCAGCCTACCTCTGCCCCTCGCTCACATGTTGGGATTAAATGTGGGCACTGCCACCACTCAGCTGGGAACTCATTTTTCTAATCCCTTGAAGGTGGGAACATTTTGACCCTGCTTTCATTTTATAGCCAAATGTGCTGTGATGGTTTGTATATGCTCGGCCCAGGGAATGGCACCATTAGAAGTTGTGGCCCTGTTAGAGTAGGTGTGTCACTGTGGATATGGGCTTTAATACCCTCATCCTAGCTGCCTGGAAGCCAATATTCTGCTAGTAAACTTCAGATGAAGATGAAGAATTCTCAGCTCCTCCTGTACCTTGGCTGCCTGGAAGCTGCCATGCCCCCTTAATCTGATATCTTCTAAAACATAGGATTCAGCTCTATTCTACTTCCTGGTATCCCTTTAATTGAACCCTTGAACCATATATTTTGTATTTTTCCGTTCTCAACTTGCTTCTTTTCATTAAAATGTTTTTCATAAGAGTTCACTGTAGTCACCACAGAATAGAATTTACACCAGAATGTTTTGAGACTTCTTTTCAAACCAATTAATCTAAATCTCTTCACCTTAGCCTTCTTAGAGTCTTCGGGCAGACTCTTCAGACAAGGGCAAAAAGCAGCCACATTCTTCACCAAAATACCACAAAAACAGTCTCTAGGCCACATACTGAAATTCTTCTCCTCTGAAACCTCTTGGGCGAGGTCCACACAGTTCAAATCACTCATATTGCCCTACATTGGGCACCAACTGTCCCAGCCTGCAGGGAATTCGATGAGATCCTAGGGAAGAGGGTGAAAGAATGA